GGGGCCAGGAGGCGACACTCAAGGTAAGCACCAGAGCTCCCCTGAAAAGTACCACCGTCGTCATCAGTGACAGTGAGACCCTGAGCTCCTCCAGCAATGAGGAAAGCCGAGTGCCCATCAGGAAAGCCCGCATGCCAGGATTCTCTAGGAGGCTGAGCAGTGCACCATCCTCCCCTCCAGAGCCAGGAAGCCATGCTCAAGGTGAGGACCAGAGCTCCCCAAAGTGAACCATAGCCATCCTCAGCGACAAGGAGGTCCCGAGCTCCTCCTCTGATGAGAACAACCAAGTTCACCAGGAAAGCCAGCATGACGAAGTCCACCAGCTGAATAGCTCAAGAGAACCTGCAGTGCCAACAGCCTCCACCAGCTTCCACCAGCCTCTTATGCTGCTGCCGATAGCCCTCGCGTGGGCCTCCCACACCCAGCACCACACTGGTTCAGCTTTTCTTTGCGTTTCAAATCCTATTAAGTTGATTTGTCTGAAGTATATGCTTACAAAGAGGATGGACAGATAAAGGATTTCAGTTGACTTTTGGTAGAGGCCATTGTCCTCTGAAACATATTCTTTATTCCCACAAAAACTCTTCACTGAAAGATGGGATTTTTGTTTGTTTCACACTGCAGAAAAGCTACGTGTGCTGGGCAGGGTGGCACACATGTATTATCCTAGCACTTAAGAGGCTGAGGCAGGAGGATCTCTGTGAGATCACATAGTGAGTTCAAGGCCAGTGTGACCCATGTTGTGAAAGTCTGTTTCAAAAACAAAATGAAAAGCTAGATGCAAATTTCGGATGTGTTCCACTTTGGGTGAATTTATTTCATTAGAGGTCAGTTCTTGGGCAGGGCAGGAGGTGCTGAGTGCATCTGACCAACCTGTACCCCTCTGCTGGGGAGATAGCTCAGCAGTCTAAAGGCCTGCCTGGCACACACAAGGTCCTGAGTTTGGTCCCTAGCACACACACACACACACACACACACACACACACACACACATATACACACACACAAAAAAAACTAACCAAAACAAGCAAACCAACCCTCCCCCTCCCCCGTCTTTTTTCTGTCTAAACTCCTTATACCGCACTGCTGCTGAGCTGTGCCTCTCCCTGCCCAGGGCAACACATGCCCAAGTCTGCAGCATGGTGCGAGCTCTTGTCCCTTCCGTGTGACAGTCTGAAGGACATGGTGCACCTTGTCCCCAGGGATGTTGATGCTGTCCAGGTGTTCTTAGCTTTACAGGCACACGACGCATAACTTTATAAGGGTTCCTTGTATGATTAGCCATGCTTCTGCTGCTGCAGCCAAACTGAGTCCAGGAAAGGAGCGACGCCCGAGGAAGTGAGGAGGTGGCGAACAGCTTTATCGGCACCGCTGGTCCTGGCCTGCCTGCCTCCCACAAATCCAGGCCCCGCTTGGGTGTGGCTAGCACTTGCACATGATGCACACACGGGAGGTGCGAGGGAGGCACAGAGGCGGGACAGGACGGGCTGGCAGCTCTTCTGATTCCCTGCCAGGGTGAGGTCCCCGGCTACAGGGCTGGATTAGCGCCCATCAGCTGCCATCAGGCATCTGCATGTTGGGCCTCGCTCTCGTGGATACAGGGGTCAAGGAAGCAACTGCAGAGCCGCGAGGCAGCTACAGAGCTGGGCAGCTTCAAAGAGAACAAGGTTTTATTTTTGTCTTTTATTTTGTTAAAAATTAAAAAAATCTTTTGTTTATTTATTTGGTGCAGGGTCTACAGAGCTGGGACTCATAGTGATCCTCCTTTTCAGCCTCCCCAGTGCTGGGATCACAGGTGTGCACCACTACGCCCAGTTTCCATGGCTGGCTCAGGGCACCCAGGGGTGGAGCTGGTGTGGCTTGTGGTACTGGGGATGAAACCTGGGTCCTTGAACTTGCCAGGCAGGCACCTAGACCACTGGGATATCTCCCCAGCCCTGAGAAAAAGGTTTTGGAAAGAAAAATTTTTTCATTAGCAGTTTTCCCTATCACTGCTGGAGGACCCTATCTCCAGAGAATGAAGCTGACTGGGCATCCACACTAAGTTGCAATGAGTGTTTGTTTATTTGTCTGTCTGTCTGTCTGTCTGTCTGTCTGTGTATTTCCCCATGTCAGCCTCCACACACAGGGCATTCTTGTCACATCTCTGTGGGGAGTTGATGAGGGCACACCACACCTTAATTCTTTCTACTTCTGACACCTACAGGTCCCCTTTCTATTTGCAAAAGATCTGCCTCCCCACCTGCTAGTTCCTGTCTTTTCCTTTGTTGTTTAATTGACTTAGACTTGGGCTGCTCACGTTCGAGCTGCCCTGGGATATCAACCTTCCTGTGGCCATCTTCCTGCCAAGGACCAGTGCACCCTGCTCTGTGGCCGGGTGGGGCCCCGCGGCATAGCAATGGCAGCTCCCCACACCTGCTCGGGCCGAGGTGCTGCAGTTTCTTCTCTGAGCCGTTCAGACCCGCAGCCCACAGGGCAAAGGCAGCCAAGGCCAGGGCTCTGGTGGGAGCAGGTGTGGTGGGACAGAGCAGGCCGTTAGGGAGCGGCTGGCAGCCAGGAGGTGAAGAAAGGGCTCTTATCAGGCCAGTTCCTCCCAGCATCTCTATAAAAGGGAGTTGCTCAGGTGCTTGGCCAGGGGGTTCCCGAGGACCCGGGGGACTTGTAGAGGGAACCGAACTCTCTCTGCTGTGCAGTGCAGCTGGCTCTGGTGACCACAGGGGTCAGTCTCGGGTTCCTGGTGGGGTGGCAGGGAGGGCAACGGCTTTCTGGCTTCCCGGGTCTGCAGCGCTGGCATCCTGGTCCTCTTCCTTGCATAATTCCCCCGAGGAATGCTAAATTGCCGGCTTGGCTTTAACTTGTGATCCTCCTGCCTCAGCCTCCCAGAGAGCTGGGATCACTGACCTTAATTCTTGCTTTGCCTTTGTTTTCTATCCAATTCCTAAAGTTTCCTAATGGCCTGGCGTGTGTGTGTGTGTGTGTGTGTGTGTGTGTGACCTTTTTCCCCTTCCAGGACAAGGCCAACATGAGACTCCTGCTCCTCCTGGCTCTCCTGGTGGGGGCAGTATCTGCCAAGCATTTCAGTAAGTCTTGGTCTCAGAGTCCCTGTGCCCTTCCTTCCTGTGGCAGGGGCATCCAGGCAGGCTGCCCAGGCCAGAGCGGGAGCTGTCCGTGGTCCTGAAGTAGCAGGGCCCTTGCCAGGAGACCTTCTCTTTCTCCTGCCAGGCAGTGAAGTGTCCAGCTTGGAGAGCCCGCGGAGAGCAGAGAGCTTGGCCCAGGATGGGGAGAAGGCAGAAAGGGTCGCTGGGGAGGCCCCTGCTGGGGCTCTGATGCCGCTGCAGGAGGGAGACGAGGTGGAGGAGGAGGCGGAAGGAGACTCTGGAAGTGAAGACAGCCCTGAGGAGGAGGAGAGGGTGGAGCCCAGCTCGGAGCTGGATATGGGCCACATGGACATCCAGTGTCCTAAGGAAGAGGATGCAGTGAAACTTGTGGGCAGCCCTGGATGCAAAACCTGCAGATACGTTGTGCTGAGTACCCCCAGGACATTTAATGAAGCTCAGGTGAGCGGTGTGTCCTGGTGCCCTTGTCATGTCAGCGTCCCCTCTGAGGGCCTATGATCTCTGCAGCAGCCAGGCCCAGGGGAGGTGGCTGGGCTCCCATCCTCCTGGAGATGTGGACAGGAGCGAGGGCATGGAGGGTGGGTGCGGGTGCTCCTGCCGTGACGCTCCGCTCTGCCTCTCCCTCCTGCCCCGCAGCTGGTGTGCCAGAGGTGCTACCGCGGCAGTCTCGCGTCCATCCACAGCTTCGCCTATAATTACCAGCTGCAGTGCACGTCCCGGACACTCAACGCAGGCCAGATCTGGATCGGAGGCCAGCTTGTGGGCAGGGTAGGAAGGCGCTGGGCGCATCTGACCAGCGCTGTGTCCCTCATGGCCAGGCGTCCTGTGGGCAGGGCAAGCAGCAGCAGCAGGGACCCCGTGGGCCCATCTGCCCTCTGCATCCCCTCTGCAGCCCACCCCTACCCTCTGCCTTCCCTAGGGCCGCTGCAGACGCTTCCTTTGGCTGGACAAAAGTGCCTGGAATTTCGCGTACTGGGCTGCAGGGCAGCCCTGGGGTGGCTATCACCACGGCAGATGTGTGACCCTGTGTACCCGAGGTGCGATGGGCTGGGAGGGACTCAAGGGTGGGAGCTGGGGGTGCCCACGAGGAGGTGCAGGACAGAAGACTGCTCCCCGTGGAGGCCACCTGAGTCTCTGTGTCACCTTTGGGAGGTCGAAGTTCCCCTCTCCTCTGTCTGTGCAGGTGGCCACTGGCGCCTCTCTCACTGTGGCAAGAGACGTCCCTTCGCCTGTTCCTACTGATGGAGTCTCAGCCAGAGCGTCTGTCTGCCTTTCCTGCCACAGCTGCCCCCCTCTCCCCTGTCCACACTCCTCCCCCCACTGCCCTGAAATAAAATCACTTCCCAGAATGGACCCCTCTGTCATGTGCTCATTTCACCTTGTGGCCAGCTCCTACCCCAGGACAGACTGCCTCCCCTCCAGCCCCCTTCCACACCTTCCCCTAGGGAGCCGGGGGTTGGGGGGAGGGCAGGGGAGGACCCTGGAGCCATCTGGGGAGCACAGCAGGCTCAGGTGGTTCCTGTCCCTGCAGTCCTGGCCCTGGGCACCTGTGTCATGGCATTGACAGGAACCATGTGCATCCCCAGGCCATTTAGGGCTTCAGGCGGTGCCTGGGGGCCCTTGCTAGATCCATCCAAGGTCTCTGCTCACTCACCAGCCCACCATGGCAGTGTGCTTGGCTTAATGTGCAAAGAAATCAGGAGGTCCCTGGGGAGGCACACGTGGCTCAGAAGGGGTGTCCAGTCCCTAACCCCTCAAACTGTAAGGGCCTGTGGTGTCCAGGACACCATGTCTCAGCACTGGAGGTAGCCAGCCCATCACACACAGGACAAGGGCTGGGGAGTGTGTTGCAATCCTGATGGACGGTTTCACAGAGCGCAGTAGGAGACTTCAGGGCTCAGGGCTGCTGCTCCACGTCCACTTCCTAGAAGCATCCTGATAGCCCAGTCTGCAGTTCTCTGGACAGGAAGCTCACTGTCTGTCCACAGACAGTTTCTGTTTTCAAAGCAAAGACCGCAGTGCAAGGGGAACGGCCTCACATCCCGAGCTGGGCTGTGCATCTGCATGCATGCCTCCTCTCCCAGATGCTCCTAGGCTCTGTGACCCCCAGTCACCTTGGATGGAGCCCCTGAGTCCCTCCCCCAGGGCAGAGCTTAGGGTTGATGCCCTGGTGGCAGCACTCACTGCTTCCCTGTTGGTGAGCACTTCAGCTCTGGCTTGGTTTCCCACGAGGCCACACCATTGCGAGATCTCCTCAAGCCTATCATATCAGAGGCAGGCACTGCCCTTGTCCTCTGTCAGCAGCTGAGATGCTGCTTGGGATCTGGTAGATCCTGGCACATGCCCCAGGAGGGCAACACTGACCCTCGAAGAAGGTGGGCCAGGCTGACTGAGTCTTTGGGCAGGAAGCAGAGTGTAAGCCCCACGGGCATAACCTAGGGCAGCAGGTGGAAGCCCTGGGAGCTCCAGGAGTGCCTATGTTGTCCACAGTTACCACACGTGGCTGCTTTAAATAAGGACTGGGATGCACACATGAGGCCCACGGCCACCCGTTCCTGAATATGTGGACCTGGACAGGCTGTGTAACAGCTCTGAGTTTCTATAGGCAAGCGTGGAGGCAGGATGTGGCAGCGTCCAATCGTTAATGGGATGGAGTGCAGAGTAAAGGGAGGAAGGAGCCACGGTGGGGCCAGTGTCTGGGCTGGGTGGTCTTTAATCCGACAAGAGCAGGGTGGTCAGCAACAGTGTCACTGCAGTCACTTGGTTGTCTTTGTCTTTGTCCAGGGTCAACAGGAAAGACTGGTAGGCAAGGGTGGGCAGCTGGGAGGTCCTGGAGAGCCTGCAGAAGGCAGCTCAGGGCCCAGTGGGCATCAGGAGGACAGGTTCAGGCTGCCCTCGGTCACTTGTTGGAAGCCTCTGAGATGCCAGCTCCTCCTCAGTGACTGGAAGTGGTGCCTCCTTGCTCATGCTGTGGGATGAGCAGGCTTGTGGGAGAGCCAGTGACACCAGCCATCCCACCACTGGGAAAAATGGTGCTAGCCTGCCTTAGCAAGTGCAGGGACCAGGGTTCAATCCCTGGTCCCATGTGCTGCGCCATGTGCTGAGCTGGCAAAAGAGTCTGGTTGTGGTGCCACACACCTGTAAACCTAGCACTGGGGAGGCTGAAAACAGGAGGATCACTAGGAGTCCGAGCTGGGTGGTGAGAACCTGTACCAAATATATAAAAATGAAACACAAACAAACAAATGGTGCTGGCCCAGGCTGCCACGTGGAGGAGGGCAGTTGAGTCTCTCTGTTCTTCTCCCCCTCAACTGGAAGGGCCCAGCTTGGAAGCTGGCCACCAGGGCGTGGGGCCCTGGCTTGGCTAACCCTCCAGGTCGATAAGCTGAGGTCTGGGTCCGTTGCTCCCGGGAGATAACAGTGTGTCTGTTACTCTGCAATTGGCCCGGAGGTGGCCTCAGAGCCACTTCTGCATTTGCAGGGCAGGCGATGGGGCCCGGCTATGGCCAGTGGGTTCCCCCCTCTGCTGTCCCGGAACCCTCACCCCTGGCATTCCCCCGGGTCTGGGCAGAGAGTCTCAGCCACAGTAGATCCGACTGAAGCTTGGGTGAAGTTTTGACCTCACCTTTGTCATTGGTACTTTGCATTAGTGTTGATTTTCAACAAAGATTGCAGACAGATACTGCAGGTCCTGTACACTGAAACTTCCAGGGCATCTCTAGGCTTTGTGCCTGCCTCAATCATCGGCTTCTAGTCCTGACTCTGGTGGTGACCAAGGTGGCGGTAGATGGGGGTGAGGGTGGGAGGAGGGGGCTGCGCAGGGGTCTGGGGCTCCTGTGTGGGACTTCTCACTCCAGCCGCTGCCTCTGCACAGCCCAGGGGTGGGCACGGGAATGTTCTAGATCTGTATCCCAGGTGTTCTGAGGCTGTTAGAAAGCATACTGAGACATGGCTGAAGGTCCTGGAGGAGGGAGGGGCTGCCAGCGTCTATCAGGGAGAGACGGGGGTCATTTCCCCCAAGGAGCACTGGGCCCCAAACTTGGATAGGCAAAGGTTTGAAATCTTGATCTAGGTCCACAGAACAGGAAAAGCAGCAAAGACTTTGACATATTGAACTAGGAGAGGGTAAGAAAGAAAGGGACAGAGGAAGAAAAGGAGGAGGAGGAAGAGTAGTGAAAGAAGGGAGAGAAGAAAGAGTTTTAGAGGGCTGGGCAGATAGCTCAGCAGGTTCAGTGCTGGCCTGGCAGGCAAGCTCAAGGTCCTGAGTTTGATCCCTGGTACAGAAAGAAAGAAAGAAGGAAAGAAAGAAAGAAAAAGAAAGAAAAAGAAAGAAAGAAAGAAAAGAGAAAGAAAAAAAAGAAGAAAGAAAGAAAGAAAGAAAGAAAGAAAGAGAAAGAAAGAAAGAAAGAAAAAATTTTGGAGCCAAAAGACCTGGACATCTCACTTCCTGGCTCCCCATGTGGCCTTGGAAAGTCACAGGTTAGGGAAGGTACACAAAGCACCTGTGTGAGAGCTGGGGATCCTGGGACCCTTGTCCCCCTTCCCCTTGTGGGGACACTGACTGTCACCAGAGGCTGTACCTGAGCCCAGGGCACTTCTCAGAGCTGAGGGGCAAGAGAAGGTCAGCTCATTGGGCCTTCAGTACCTGCAGCCCATATGGCTCCCATTTAGGGAAGCAGGATGGGGGTGGGGGTCAAACTTGATCGGTTCAGGCCACCCCCCAGGCTGGGGCAATCTCCCCACCCCCTCACTTCCCCAAAGCCCAGTATAAGACCTGTGTGTGGGGCACAGGGGCCGGGCACATGCAGAGGTCTCCAGCTCTCAGGAGGTGAGCAGTCCCCAGCCATCTGGGACAGGGGGGCCCAGGCCCTGGTGGATGCGGGGGCCGTGGAGATGTCCAGACACTTGGGTCCCCGCTGGCCAGTCCCCCCCCTGCCTCCTCTCTGCAGTGTGAACAGAGTGGGCTGGGAACAAAAAGACCTGACCCCACCGGGCCTGCCTTTGGCGCTGGTGCCATTTCGGGGAGGTGAGAGCGTTCTGGGAAACACCTTGTCTCCTTTTCATCCCGCCAGCCTCTCTTCGTAGTCCTGCTCCACTGGCAAATCAAACAAAAGCCAAATCTATACCGTGTGCCAGGGGCTGCTGCAGACACTGACTGCCCAGGAGGACGGAGCCCTGGGTCCCACTTGGAGGTTGAGCAGACATGTGTCACCTTCCTTGCCTGGCCCTGGCCCTGCTCCTGCTTGGTGCAGTTTCTGCTCTCCACCCAGGTATGTCCCACCCTGGCCCCTCCCAGCTTTTGCTCTCTTGCTTTTCTGGGTGTCCCTTTTCTATTCTGTTCTCCTGGGGCCAGGGCCACCATCTCTGCTCCACTGACCCTGTCCCTCTCTGGTAAACTTCCTTCGGTCCAGACTGTAAGGTGAAGGGTGGTGATTACCTGGCTTCTCCTGCATGCATCCTCTTAGCCCCCAAATGCAGGCTCGTGGTGTTCACTGGCCCCAGCCCCAGGCAGCCTAGAGGGCCCCACGCGCCTCCCCTGTGGCTCACTGGAGCTGTCCGCGGTCCTGGCGGTCCGGAGCTCCCAGAGTGACGGCTAGTGAACTCTTCCACCTAGAGAATGAGGTGCCTGCTCTGCAGAGCCCAAAGGCTGAGCTGGGCTGGGATCTGGGCAGTGCCCAGGAGCAGGAGCAAGAGTCGGCCCTGGGCCAGGAGGCGATTCCAACAGCAGGAGACGAGATGGAGGCCCTGCCGTGTCAAGACGCGTTGGAGGACCCAGAAGCCACAGAGTCAGACGCAGCAGCCCTCGACAAAGACTCCCCATGCCCTGCAGAGGAGGACACCCTCCCAATCCAGGGGCTCCCAGGGTGCCAGACCTGCGGCTACCTGCTGGTGCAGACCCCCAAGCGGTTTAGTGACGCTCAGGTGAGCGCAGGCATTGCTCTGGAGGAGCGGGGCGAGGAGAGTGGATTTGGCCTCTGTTCTGTGCTCATTTAGATGACAGCAGTTCTCAGCCTAGTTTCAGAATCATCTAGAGGTTTCATTCAAATGCAGACTGGGGGACTCCACCGCTAGCTTCTGATGTAGGATGTTGGGCAGGAGGCCTGAGAACAGGCATTCCTGACTTCTGGTGAGAGTGTTGTTATGTGTTGGTCTGAGGACTGCACTCTGAGCACCACTGGTCGGGACAAGGGGCCTAGAACTATATATGCCATGTCAGGGCCACCTCTGCCTTTCACCGATGGTGTCACTCAGGCCCCGAGGATGGCAAATCTTGCTGATGCTTAATTTCTTTATATAAAAGAGGTGAAGTATTTGCTTATAACCTCCGGCAAGCTGCGTGCTTACTGCACGCCTTCTCCAGATGCGTGCGTGGCACACGCCTGGCTCTTGGGAGGCTGAGGCAAGAGGACTATAAGTCTGAGTCCTGCCGGGGCAGCTTCGCAAGATCCTGTCTAGAGTAACAAGGGCTGGGAATGTAGCTCAGCATGAAGGTCCTGGGTTCCATCCCCGGAACAGTTATGAAAACCTGGTACAATGTAAATGCCATATAGAGTGTCGCTATGCTGCACACCAGAGGAACATGACAAGAGAAAGCGTCTGCACAGGATCTGTCTATTGGAGGAGGAGGAGGAGGAGGAGGAGGAGGAGGAGGACTTCTAGTTTATCCTTTAGCTGATGAATTAAACAAATACCATGCCTACACTGTGCCAGGGTCTGCTCCAGATACACAGATGGCCCCAGACACATCTTGGGAGAGGTTTAAGACATTTTTTTGACAGGACTTGCTGTATACTTCAGACTGGTCTCAAATTGAGCATGCAGTCGAGGCTGCGCTTACACTTGCTACCCCCTTTCCTCAGCTCCTGAGCGCCGAGATTACGGGCACATACCAGTATGCCTGGCAAGTGTTTAAAAGCTGCTTTTGCTATATGGTTGGTTGAATCCATGACGGGGAGCTCGTGTATGGAGGGCTCACTACACGGTGCAGTGTTAATCTCTTAGTGTTGTGGTGAGGATCCTGTCAGATAACCCATTTGGAATAGCCCAGTGACCGGTCAGCAAATGCTGGTTATGATCGTTACTATTTGTTTACAAGGACTTTTTGAAAGCTGACTCAGGAGGAAAAAGAATTGAGGGAGGGGAACGGGCCCTTCAGTTCTAACCTACAGACAGTTGCAAAGGTCCTTCTTGGGGATGGAGGAAGGTGACGAGAGTCCCTGTCCTATGCCTTCTGTCCACAGAGCATCTGCAAGAGATGCTACAGAGGCAACCTGGTCTCCATCCATAGCTACAGTGCCAACTCTCACATCCACCTGCTGGCCAGCAAGATTAACCAGGCCCAGGTCTGGATTGGAGGCGCCCTCAAGGGTTGGGTAAGTTGTGGACACTTCCCCGGGTGCAGGAAGTTCTCGCTGCTTGTCTCAGGGTGGTGCTGGTGATGAACCTGCGGCACGCAGCAGGCTGTTTGTATTGCTGAAAGCTCTAAAAGGTTTGCCAGCACTGTCTTAGGGGCTGCCCTGCTCAGGCGGGCAGGGGTGTTGCCCTCAGCTTGTGGTGGCATGGCACACCTGGGCAGAAGGCCTGTTCCCAGCACGGTGGCCGGAAGCAGAACAGAGCAGAGAGTCCGGGTCCTAATATCCCCTGAGGCCATGCCCCCAGTGACCTACTATCCTCCCACTAAGCTCCAACCCTTAAAGGGCCCACCACCTACTCATTGCCCCATAGGCTGGGAGCCATGTCTTAAGCACATGGGCTTGTGGAGTGCATCTCAGAGCCCACCTACAGCATGGTCTGGATCAGGGCTGCTTCCTCCTTTCTGTCTCCTCATCCTCTCTGAGTCAGGAGACTGTGTGCAGCCAGCAGACGCTCAGGCCCTTCCTGATCCTCTCAGGACCCGCAGTTTCTGCACCACTAACGCAGGCTCTTCTCTCTGCCGGCTCTGGGATCAAGGGAAACTGAGGACACTGCATTTGGTACTCAGGGTATGGTCCATGGCCCAGCATTGCCTGGTGGCTTGTTAGAAGTACAAAGAATCTTGGCCGTGTCCTGGGCATCCAAATCAGTGCCCGCATGGTAGCAAGTGGCACTGGTGGCCGGGGTCCACACACACTTCTCTCCCATTGCCATTGAGGGCACCTGGCTCCCAGCCAGAGACGGTTGAAGGGTAGCTGCTCTTGGGTCCCTGGGTCCTCCAGCAGTGCCAGGCACTCCTCTCTGACCTCCTCCCCATCCTGGCTCTAGTTTTTGTGGAAGAAGTTCTGCTGGACAGACTGCAGCCGCTGGGACTTTGGATACTGGGCCCTAGGGCAGCCTCAGAACGGCAAAGGCTGCTGCGTGGCCCTGTGTACCAAAGGTGAGGGGACGGGACAGAGACAGCTGGTAGCAGAGCAGCTTCTAGGTGCTGTCCTGGGGAGCTGCCTGGGTGTAGGCCCCAGGGGTCCTACTTTCTCAGGCCTGAGATGTGGGGATCCAGGAAGCCTGGGCAGTGCGGTGCTGCTGTGCAGTGGGCCGGGTCCCCGAGGTCCTGTGATGGGAGGGAGACCACGAAGGGACAAGTGGTGAGCATGGGGTGCCGACGGATACGGGAACATGGGGTCAGGCAGGAGGGCTTCACACATGGCCACGGCCCAACGTTGCTCTCCTGTTCTGTGACCTGTGGGTGAGGAAGGCCCTGTGCCCTGGGTCACAGCGAGGACCCAGTGAGGCTGAGCCCGGGGCACACTTCAGGGGCACAAATGTCTGTCTTTGTCCTGCAGGGGGCCACTGGCGACGTGCCCATTGCTACCATCGCCTGCCCTTTGTCTGCTCCTACTAGACCCTGCCTGGGAGGGAGCCTCCTGCCTTGGTCCCCTGGCGCCCGGCCTGGGCTATAAATCCAAGCTGCCCACTGCTCACCTGGAGTCTCCTTTCTTCCGAGCTTGTGGGGGCATGGGAGGTTGGGAAGCTGGCAGTGGCCGAGACGCCCCTGGGGGCACCCCAAGGGTCAAGAGAGTAGCACACGGCGGAGACTGGGCAACAGCACCACCTGGAGGCAGCGCGGGGACCTGGGACCCCACATCTACCGGAGTGAGTGGGAGGGCGCTGCACCGCGGTTTTGCTTGGGTTCAGAGTGAGAAATGGGGTTGGCAACTTTACAAAATGGAGCGCAGATTCCAGAGCTGGTGCAGAAAATTGAGGTAATGCTTGGAACTCAGGGACCCTGAGGGAATGGGCTGCCTCCCCCCTTGCTTGGCTTGGACCCTGGCCAGGAAAGACTATGCATACAGGGGCGTGTGTGTGTGTGTGTGCCCGCGCAGTGTGTGCTGAGTGTGCGTGTGTTCACACCCAGATATTCAGGGCACAGTCGTGTGTCCACATGTCCACACCTGGCTGGTTCTTGGATGCGTGTGTGTGTGTGTGCATCCCTGGGTGGCTGAAGGTGAGTGTGTGTCCGTGTGCATCTGGCACACCACATCATGTCCACATTTGTGAGAGAGAGAGAGAGAGAGAGAGAGAGAGAGAGAGAGAGAGAGAGAGAGTGGGTGAGAGAGAGAGAGAGAGAGAGAGAAATTGGGTTGCATGGCTGGCACAGGGCTACAGTGCGAGAGAGGAAAAGCCCATTGTCCCATGTACCCTGTGTGCTAAGGGGGTGAGCAGAGGGATCAGGACAGGTAAGCAGACAGACTGGGGCCCTGGGAGGTGGGGGAGGTGCAGAGGAGAGCCGTGAATGGGCAGGAACCTGGCCCGGCATCGCCGGTGCCTCCCCAGAGCTGGGCCTGGGAGCCCTTAGCCTGGATGGAGGGCGGGCCAGGTGCTCCCCAACGCCTGACTACCCATGACGGGCCTCTCCCTCCACTTGTCTGTTCATTCCTTTGTCTGCTGAAGACCTTCACTCTTGAGAAGCTCTAGATTACAAAGCCAGTACTCTTAGGAGAAGCAATGCCCCAGGGACTATCTATGAGGACCCCAGGAGGCAGCTTGGCAGCTTGCTGGGCCGAGGCTAACAAGGCTTTGTGAGTGGGAACTCGGAACTCGGCCTGCCAAGCATGTGTGGAATCCTCCTAGGATGGCAGTCTGGGGGAGGGGAAGGGAAACTACCGAAAGGAGGTAAAGAAGCCGACCGTGTCCCACAAACTCAAGGAACCCCTGTATCCTGGCCAGCTGTGGGCCCTGCAGCCTGCTGAGAGGTGGTTGGAAGTGAGGCTGTCCCTCAAGGCCCAGTAGCTAAAGGACCCCTAAACCTCCAGCTTTGGATCCCTGTACGATGATCTGCAATAAACCTTGAGATTTTATGCCTTACTGCAGCAAAACCTGCCTGACTCTGGCACAGGGAAAGAACTGGGCATGTGGGTGCATGCCTGAAATCCCAGTACTCTGGAGGGTAAGGCAGGAGGATGCCCGAGAGTTTGAAGCCAGCTTGGGCCACACAGTGAGTTCAGGACCAGCCTGGGCTATCTAGTGAGATCCTGCCTCAAAAAAACAAAACAAACACTCAGAAAGGTGTCCACACAGGTCCTGATTTTTCCCAAGCAGATGGGCATGACCGTCAACAAGCCAAGCTCCAGAGTTGTAAACTCTGGGTTCAAGTCCAAGCTGTCCTTGTCCATTTCTTAGTTCTGATCAGCATAACTCAGCTTCTCCTTTTGAAGAACAAGGGGAGGATCAGGCACCACGTGCCACACATCTAGCCGGCGTGTGCCCGTGGGGCGTCATCACAAGTGAGCCTTCGTGCCACATCTTTGGGGGTTTTCTGAGGCTTTTTTTGCTACTGGGAATTGAACTCAGAGCCTTGTGCTTGCCAGGCAAGCACTTGTTCTGCTGAACTACACCCTCTGCCTTTTTGTCTTTTTTGAAACAAGGTCTCATTATATAGTTCAGGCTGGCCTTGGACTGACCATATAACTTAGATGGCTTCAAACTCTCAGCGATCCTCCTACCTTGGCCTTCCAGGTGCTGGGATTATAGGCATGCACTACCACTCCCAGCATATGCTGAGCTGTTGAAGAATCAAGTTAGTGTCCTGCTCTGGTTCCCAAGTACTGTCATGTCAATCTGGTTTCCTAGTGAACAGAATTAATAAACGCAGCACCCTTCCAGGACTGGTGTGAGTGTGCACGTGCCTGCACTAGTGATTGGGCTGAGAGGCCGCAATGCAGGGTGAGCACGGGGTGGAAGAAGGGTTTCCAGGTCTGTGATGGTTGATAGTTGTGTCCACTTGGGGACTCTAGAAGCCTCACTGCGTACCATAGCGGTTCTGCATTCCAGGGTGCAGAGGACAGATGCTTAAAGCCCTAGGATATTATTTGTTGTGTCAATTTGAGAAGCTTAGAAGTTTAGCCAAGCCATTCAGCAGGGGCCAGGGGCCTCACTGGGTAATCATCCGGAGCCTGCGTAAGAGGGGGTCATGTGGAGACTGTGTGGGTGTCAAGGCCCCACCCTGGGGCCCGCGCAGCAGCTTCTTGCTGCTTTTGCTGTCTCCCGCCACAGTGAACAGTTTCCCCTAAGCCACGCCTTGGAGCCGGCCAATTGTGGACGGAAACCTCCAACACCGTGATGTAAATAAAGCCCCACTTCCTTCACTTTGAGTGTGGGGTATTTTGTCCCAGCAACGAAAGAAAAGTAACCAAGACAGAGCCTTTCAGTCTTTTGCCTTCAAAGCTGACCAGTGGCCTGTTGGGGCCCAGTGGGGACAGGGCCAGCCAGTGGCATGGGTGACCACTCCCAGGGTGAGGGTGGCACCTGCTTTTCTTCACCAGTGTTTGAAATAAGCACCATTAGCCCTCCTGACACAGATAGGACCACAGGCCCAGGGGCAGCCCACCTGGGTGGGCGGGGAAGGACAGCTCCCCAACAGTCCTATGAACTTGGGGTGCCCAGGTTAGAGTGAGAACCCGTACCTATCCACCCAGTCCTCCAGAAGTGGAGCCTGCACTCCAGGAAAGCTTGCTTTTATTAAGCTGACTGTGGTCAGGAAAGGTGGTGGCAGGGGCAGGGTGGGGTTCATTCCTCTCTCAGGTGTGGGCAAGGGGTGAGCGAGACTGGGGTTCAGCTCCCAGCTCTCTCACTTCCTGGCTGTGTCTCTCACTGTGAGAGTTTCTCTTTGATACAGGGAAGGCGTGTCCACTGAGTGGGGCTATTCTAAGGGCTACAGGAGATGGGATGCTGTGCTCACCTGGCGTTTGGGACACCCTCATGGGCATTCATCCCCCTTATTATCTGTGATTTTTGGAACAGGACAGTGCAGGTGTCACTGCCCCTGGGGGTCCTGGGAGGCAGAGGGGGGCATGCGGGGGTGATGCGGAGTTGGGGTTGTAGCAGGAAGAACTGCTGCTGTGCAGCAAAAGGGGCCCAGACACTGGGGTGCCTGTGGGCCCTCTGGGGTGAGCAGCAGAAGCCTGCTGGGGTGAGCTGCAGGAACCCTGCCCTGTGGAGAGGTCTCCCTCTCAGGAGGCCTATGGTGCACATGGGCCCTGGAGTGACACCTCAGTGGCCAATGGAGTAGGCGCCTGAGTCTGTAGACTGCTTTTCTGCTGTGGCCTGGTCCAGGGGGTTGGTGACCTTCAGCATGGACTCGTTCACCTGTGCAGGGAAGGGTGTCTGAGCCCGTGTAACCACCTGGTCCTCAGGGGCCCTGCTCTCTTCCCAGGTGCTCCAGGGCACATGGGAACCTGAGGTGTCCTGTGGTCCTGAAGCTGAGAGGGAAGCCTGTGCAGGTGAGGATCCCGATGCGGTGACCCCAGGACCTCAGGGGTCCACCCAAGCCTCCAGTCCCCCTCACCTCCTCAAACTTCTTGGCTTTGTACTGGTCAGCGCCTTTGAGGAAGTTGAGCAAGATGATGTCACACAGCACGGTCCCCTGAAGACAGAGGGGGCAGTCAGACGGGCTGTGGGGAGGGGTGGGTGCAGGGACAGGACTGGCAGGTGATCCACTCCTGCTGAGAGGCTAAGGGAGGCTTCCTCCCAGAGCTATGCCTGTGTGCGCGGGGCTTCACGGCCACCTTGCCAGCTCCCAGGCACCCCAAGACCACAGCACAGAGGACTCGGGGGGGAAGCAGTGGGGCCCCAGAGACACCCCCCCATGTGCCCTGTCCCAGGCGAGGGCAGCTCCAGCCTACAGAAGCCCTGGTGACCCTTTTGCTTACCGTGGAGACACAGGGACTTTGTCCCCTCCAAGGCCCTTGCCTCAGGCCCCTGGTCTCAGCAGGTTCTGGGCCCAGGGCTGTGGGGCGGCAGGAGACGGAGGCCACACGGAGAGGGGAACTCACCACTCCCACGGAGGTGAAGGCCGCCACAGAGCTGATGATGGTGGGGATGATGTTGAACTTGCCAGCCTGGTGCACAGAGACCGGTGGGTGGGAGGGAGGACAGGGCTGAGGCAGGGCTCCCCGGAGGAAGGGGTGTGGGAGAAGGGCAGGTCCCATCCACAGGAGAGGGACGGACAGGGTCATGACCCTCCAGGCCACCACACTCACATTCCCGTACACCAGCACATCGAAGCGGATACCGAAGGCCTTCATGAGGGTGCGGTATTCGCTGCCGTTCTCCATCTTGTAGTACTTGGCGAACCTGGGGGCCAGAGGCAGAGGTGGGCCTTCTGGAGGTCCCATGTCTGAACCCCCACAGCCCCTCACTGGGGGGCCAGGGAGATAGCCACAAGGGCACTCCCTGGGGCCACTGGACCCCCAGACAGGTGTCACCTTGGGAACCTGCTAGAGAAAGCAGATTCCTGACTTCAGCCCACAGACAGGCACTCCCTTAGGAGGAGCTCCCCGTCAGGCCAGCAGTGTGGGCTGCAGTCTCCCATCTATGGGTGGACCCGAGGGCATGCGGCTTCCTAGGGTTGAGTGGAGGGTAGAGGACACCATGGTTAGGGCTTGCAGCAGTCCAGGGACCCAGAAAGTGATCGGGAACAGTGGCCAACACCGGCTGTTGGAATTTGCTGGAAAAATGGGTGACATTGGCAGAATGACTGCAAAGAGTGCTTCTGGATGGCTCCTGTAGGTGGTGAGGTCACCTGGCTGCCACCCGAGGCCCAGCATGAAGAAATGACACTTGTGTTCTTCAAGAGGTGCTCAGGATCTGTCACCCAGCTGCCTCAGGCCAGCTATGCCCACACCCGAGCCCTGTCCTCTGTCCCTTCTCTTGCTTGGCCACTAGGCACCCTAAGTGTGGGGAGCTGTGACAGTGGTCACACTGACTCTCAGCAGACAGAGGTGCGTGTTGAGGGCAGCACGTGGCATCTGCACTCCTTTCTGCAGGTGCTGGGGCGGGTGGCTTGCCTGCGTTTTTGCCATCAGCCGACACGGACTCGGGGTGGAGCTGCAATCACTGGGCTCGAAAGCCAGTGCACTTGGCCCTGTGGTCCACCGTGATCCCCATGAGCCCAGGAGAACCTCGCTGGGCTTCTGCTCCGCAGCTGGAAGTCGGGTTCCTGGTTCCAGTGTCTTTGGAAGGTGGGGAGGGTTAAGTAAGGCTGTGGGAAAGCTCTGTATGGGAGCGGGGACAGCTCTGCTCTTATGCCGCACTGACCACCCTCCTGCATCTGTCCCCAGACCTCCCCAGCAGGAACAGGGGCTGAGAGCTCATTCCCTGAAACTGCCAATCCAAGTAGTGCAGGGACAGAGGGATAAGCAGAGAGAGGAAGCTCCCTGCTTAGGGGGGCTGGCTGCAGGCGGGTCACAGGGCGGGACCTCTCACTGCTGCTGGGCTGCCCTGGCTCTGCGAACTTTCCTCTCCCACACCTTTTCTTCCCTGGAGTCCTGCAAACATAGACTGAATGCTCTGAAACTGGGAGTGAAAATAAACTCATCCTCCTTGGCATTAAAGGTGTCCAGTGTTTTGTCACAGGGACAGAAGGTGACTTAGGGAGCTACCAAGCCTCGAGTTAGCGGTTCCATCAACAGGAAGTGCTACCAATAGGAAGTACAGCCAACAGGAAGTGCCACCGACAGAAGTGCCACCACGCGGTCAGTGGAAGTGCCACCGACAGAAGTGCCACCACGAGGTCAGTGGGAGCAGCTCACAGCAGCCAGGCTGCTTGGGCTTCTGAGCCTCTGCCCTGGTTCCCCACCCGAGGCCTTAGCTGTGGGGCAGTCCTGTTCTATCACCTTGGCTTTCTCCAGTTCGAGAAACTTCTCCTTGGCAAGCTTTTCCCCGCCAGGCACTTGGTAGGGTGTCCGTGGGCTGCCAGCCTCAGGGCCTCTCACCATTCTGGCTGGTTCCCCCCAGGCCTGGGCATCTGTCTCTCTGAATGGTGCCTCCACCCAGTCACCCCCAGCATCTGCCCCAGGACGCATCGCCCTACTCACTGCCATTGTGCTCAAGAGGGTGCTGAGCCCAGGCCTAGAACTTTATCCTGTGCAAGGGGATAGCGGTGCCCATGCCGTGCCTGGCTGAGCTGCGTACCTGAGCAAACCATCTGTTGCCCAGGTAAGGCTGCCAAATGACTCAAGGGGAAAAGGTTCCTGGGGAGCCGGGCACAGGTAGGGGTTTCCCTCTGGAAGGAGGAAGGGCACGGAGTCAGGGACAGGGAGAGGGCGGGGCTGTCTTGCCCCCACCGCTGTCAGGAGAGAGCTGCTCAGATCTGCGAGCAGGCCCCTCCACCTGCAGCAGTGGAGGATGGGAGGTCAGACTCCTCTGGGAAGGGTTTCATTCCTACACAGATGGCCGGGTCCCGGCCTGGCATGCGGGCACACCTGGCATCTTAGGAGGGAGATTGCCAGCCTACCTGACAGATTGAGGCAGGAAGATTACCTCAGTTCAGTCCCCAGCCTAGGAAATTTAGCAAGAGTCTGTCTCAACATAAAAATAAAAGAAGGGCTGGGGATGTAGCTCCCTGGTAGAGCATCTGCTTAGCACGCAGGAAGCCCTGGGTTCCAGCCCAGGACTGCAAAGGAAAAAAAAAAAGATAATGAAGTTCAAGATCCTGATTCTGACAGGAGGCCTCTTGGGAGATTTCAAGGAAGTCTGAAAAGAAGCGAGTTGGGTGAGCGGAGAGCTCAGGATGCCTCTGCTTCGGGGTGGGGGTGGGGGGCGAGGTCAAGGGCGACCGTCGCACCTCCACGCCCACTGCTCGCACACGCAGAAATACACGTAGGCCGCACGCCTCAGGCAGCCGGGGACGCAGGAACTGCTGTGGGCCTGTTTCACAGCAGAGAGGGAGCTTGCGCAGCCCGGATCTGGAGTCCGCAACCGTGATTCTGAGCTGTCCCGCCTTCGGCGCTGCTGGCTGGGAATTACGGACATAGCAGGTCTCAAAGCCCGGAGTCTGCGATCTCATCTCAGGCCCTTGTCTGTGTGTGGGGACCAGGCAGTGAGGGGAAGGGGACAGGTATCTATGATGGGGGCAGGGCTGAGGGGGCCTGCGGTCCCGACTCCTCCGCTCCCCCACTCCCCGGGCTGCCTCGGTGATGAGCACCGCTGCGACGTTGACTCGAGCGCGGGAAGCCGGCACCCTGGGCACTGCCATGGGGAGCGGGCGCTGTCTAAATTTATCGCAGAAGCGCATGCGAAGGAACGGAGAAAAATCACAGCGGGCTTGGTTCTCCTCCAGCGCCTGCCTTCCCAGAGGCAAGAGCGCGGCAGAGCACTATCTCACCCACCACCCACTTCCCGGGCTTGGCAGGGAAGAGTGAGGGACTAGGAGGCCCGGCCGAGGCCTGGCGTGGACTCCCGGGGGCTCTGGGGGCTCTGCACACTCAGCCAGTCCCACGGCAGAGACGCTGGGTGGTCACCAGGTCGGTTGTCCTCCCCCTGGGCACCCATGATGGCTGCGTTTGCCCTTCACCTCTCCACCCAGGCCCCACAAATGGCTCTGGCCCACAGCTTGCAGGTTGAAGTCAAAGTAAAGTAAAGCCCAGGATGCTTCGCCCCTAGGTAGAAGCTACCTTTGGAGGTCCTGGGATCTGGGCTCAGGGTTGGGGTCTCAGGAACTGAACTGTTGTCCCTTCTAGGTCCCTTGACTTCTCTGAGCTTTGACCTCCACTGAAAAATGGAAGGGGGCTGCTGTGGGGAGGACATGGGAACGGCCAGGTCTGCTGTCTCCCAGGATCCAGTGAAAGAAAGTAGTATCTTCTCCTTCCTGGCATGACAAGAAGTGGGCAGCACACACTGGCGCCGTATGCCGGGCCTGGTCTGCAGGCTGGACCTTGTTCGCTCCCACTTGTGGAGCCGGGCTTCGATCCGCGAGCCCGGCTGCCTGGATGCCGTGAGGTGGTCCCATCCGGGACTTGCACGCACTGTGTTGCCCGAAGTGCAGGGCCGCCGGCCAATCAGGAGGAGCAGTGACTCAGTGCCGGGGGCACCAGAGTGCTCCAAGCGCAGTCTGCCCAGGAAGCTACTCAGCCGGCCGGCCGTGTACAGGGGGGGGGGGGCCCAATTCCGGCCTCGCCACGCCTTATCCCTTCAGTCGACTTTAAGCGATGCACATGGGGCCAGCCGAGGTGCTGGTGGCAGGCTTTGAAGATGGCACTTGTGTTGCAGCCGACCCCAAAACGGTAGATCCCATCTCGGTCTCGTGTAATGCGATGGCCCCCCGCAGGTCCTCTCTGCATACTGCAGAGGTAAACGCAGGCCTCCGACCTGGCCCGGCTCACAGCGCTCACCTACTTCCTGCATTCCGCAGTCACTCACCCTCAAGCCGCTCCTCCCACATGACTGAATAAAACCCGGCTTCAGCCCTGGGTCGGGGCCTTTGCTCCAGGCAGCCACCACCATGGCTGGACTTAGGCCCTTGGCTCCCCACAACTATAAGTACGCCTTAGTGTCCTTATTCTCACCATGGGGTGCACTGGAAGGGGTAGATTAGGTTGATGAGATTTCAATACCTTATCCACAGGATAACAAGTATAAACTTCTTGGACCAGGAGGAGACCAGGAAGGGCTCTCTGTAGGAAGGGGCAGAACTGTACATGGCTTTGATCTTTCCCCAGCCTCCCATTTGGACCTGTCTGACTTCGGTTTTCCTGTCTGGGAAGCGGGTTGTTTTCTTTAAACCTACATGTTGGCCTGGCATATGAGCAACATAGCATGTCTCGCCTTCCCCGACTTGCCAAACACTAGACCCAAACTCCCAGGTATGCTCCTCTCCTCCCCTTTCCTACCTGTTCAACTTTTATTCATCCCTCAGTGCCCAACTCATTTGGCCCCCCATCCTTCCAACATTCAAAAGATCCTTCAAGCACTTCTTAACTGCAGGCCAGACACTGTGCCAGGCCCTGCTGAGTGCTCTTTCAGGAGAGGAAGATAAATGCTAGAGAGTAGCTTGAGTCAGGTATGAAGAGTTTGCTGGTGTGACTGAGGCCTGAAGTCCCCTGGGCCACTCTGACATGTGCCAAGTCTTGGGTCTCCTTGTAGTACCCCATACTCCACCAGGGCCAACGATCACGGGCCTCGGCTGTCTGATCCGCTCCTTCGCCTGCAGGCCTGAGTTCCTCATCCTCTGAGCCAGCAGGCGTCCCAACCGGCTGCTTCCCTGCCTGCCTAGGGCCTGACTGGGTACGGGAGACTTTGGATGGCTGGGCCGGGCCTGAAGCCCGGCTTGGTGCTTGAGGTCGGTTCTGTGGCCC